TTGCTACCAAAGCCACACGATAAGCAATAGATACAGGAATACACTGAACTACTATAGAGTCCACTGGTGAATTTTTATGGCTCATTTGAAAATTCAGTGGTGTTTAGTAACTCCCTCCTTCCTCTCTGGTTTTGCAGGGCCTTCCTACCTCTCATCTTCACTGGCTCTCTCTGGCTTCTAGTCTCTCAGTAGGAAGCATCCCAGACGTTGCAATTTGGGTTAAAACACTCACTCTTTCAGAGTTTTACAGGTTTTTCTTTCCGTCTTAGAAAGAATTTTGTTAAGATAGAGAGTCATTAAAAAAATCCGTCCTTTTTTTTTTTTTGCTTATTATGCAATAATTCCTTCAGTCTGTTTAAATCCATTTCAGCATAGCTTATGGAAGTGTCTGTTGGCATTTAAAAATAAATGTGCTTTTTGGAACTCAGAGGTCACTGTACACTAACTTTCCTATCTGCAGTCATTTCCTGGTTTGCCTTTTGACTGTAGCCATTTCAAAATTTTCTGTTCTTTGATTATAAACAAAGTGACATTCTAAGAGTTTAGAAATGCTCAGGGCTCTCTAGAGACTTGGGTTTGGTAAGTAGCTAAAGTTTCTATTACCTCACTGCAAACTTGGACTCCTGGAGTTCTAAGGTTTGAAAAATTACCCCTGAGAATTTCTAAGTAACATGTGAAGCCGCTACCATTAGCCCACAGTTAGATAACCCACTTGGTTCACCTAGACATTTGGAAATGTTCCCAGAGTGTTGTTCAATGGGGTCTCTGTGGGGGCTGGAGTGGGTGAGGACTGTACCCCCTGACATTGCCAGAGAGGACAACACCAAATTACCTCAGGACCCATGATGGCTGGTGAGATTGGTATCACGTGCCACCCAGTGTGGTCACTCTTGCCCCTCCCTGTCACCCAGTAGTCCGGTTCCAATGGGAGAGGGGAGGAGCTGCAGAGAACCGCAGGGCTTAGCACTTGACCCTGCTAGAACCTCCATCCACCTCTGTGGGGGGGGGGGGGGCATCTGCTGACTGGCCACCCATGGTGGGAGGGTGGATAACTCCATGAGTTACTGCGCTGGGTGCCACCGACTGTAGTTGACTGAAAAATTGCTCTTACTTAGTAACACCAGAGACAAGTCAGTGTTCTTCCTGTGGGTGAAACAAATTTGAAACCTATTGCCAAAGAGTTAGCTCTGGTAGCAAAGCATGATTCTGTGTAATAGATTTTGTTGTTCGTTTTGCAGTGCACTGATTCAGTTTTTCCAGTTGTTTCCTGAGTATAAAGAGAATGACTTTTACGCTACTGGGGAGGTGAGTTGAAGTCATATTTTTTCATCTGCTTCAAACACCATCAGATCTGAAATATATTTTCATGCCGGGTATAGTTCACTATATGAATGTATCTGTATGTATATGCATGTATGCCTATGTATAATTATTGTGCGTGTGTATGTTGTTGTTAGGTGCTGTCTGTCCAGTTGACTCCAATTCAATAACAACTTTATGCACAACAGAACCAAACACTGCCCGGTCCTGCACCATTCTCACAATCGTAGAGCCGATTACTGCTGCCACTGTGCCATTGGGGGTCTTCCTCTTTTTTCACTGACCCTCCAATTTAGTAAGCATAATGTACTTCTTCAGGGACTAGTCCCTCCTGATAACACGTCCAAAGTATGAGAGACGAAGTCTCGGCTATCCTGGTTTCTAAGGTGCTCCGGTAGCGTAGTAGTTACGAGTCGGGTTGCTAACCTTAAGGTCAGCAGTTCGAAACTACCTTTCATTCCACAGGAGAAAGATGAGGGTTTCTGCTCCCATAACGATTTATAGCCTTGGAAACCCTATGCAGGGTCGCTATGAGTAGGAACCAACTCCACAGCACACCACCACCACCAAAGAGCATTCTGACTGTACTTCTTCCAAAACAGATTTGTGTGTTCTTCTGGCAGTCCATGGTACTTTTAATATTTTTCTCCAGCACCATAACTCAAATGCATCAATTCTCCTATGGTCTTCCATACATTCAAAATTCTCCAGCTATCCTCAAGATGTCTTTGAATGAATTTTTAAAGAAGTTTTGGGGCTCATTAAAGGTTCCTGTATTACAATGACTTGTCATGTCTTACTCTTCTGCCTTTGGTGTTGCTGTTACCATTAATTATGATGTTTTTGGAGTGTTCAGGTCAGATGCCTTGTATAATGTCTCATGGATCTGAATTTGCCTGATTCTTTCCTAGATTCAGTCAAAACATATTGGTAAGAGCAGGGCATAGATATTGTTGAGTATTTTCCATTGAACCATATCAGGAGAAATAGAATGTAAGTTTATCCCATTACTGGCAAGGTTAGACTTGATCCAGCCAGATCTCTTCCCATTGTAAAGGTATCATTTTTCCATTTTAATAGTCTGAAACCATGTAAGCATCCTATTAGCTCCAAAGCTTGTCACCTAATAGCTTTAGCACTTTTCATTGACCATCCCTGTGGGAGTCAGTTACTACACTGGGGGTTATAAAATGGTGATTTTGCTAATTTTTTTTTTTAAATCACTATCATATTCTTCTGGAGAAAAAATATTTTAATTATCCTTTCTCTTTTTTATTTGCTTTATAAAAAATATCACTTTGGACTCACAGATGGTGAATCCTAATCTAAAATGTCAGCTCGTCCTTGATGTGTTAAAATCCATTATTTTCATTTTTGGTTTTGATGCCCATTGTTGTTGTTGTTAAGTGCCATCAAGTCAGTTCTGACTTACAGGACCCTGTATATATAGCATTTCCAAGAAGTGACTGCTGACCTGACGGTTCAGTGCTTTATCCCACAGCACCACACCACGACTCCTTGATGCTCACAGTATTCTAAATTTGGTTCTTGCGAGTCCCCTCAGGCTTATTCTGTGTCCCTTTAACAGACTCTCAGCAATCTTTGAGCCCTTCCTTGCTTGAGCCCTTCCTAGCACACAAATATATTCCAGAATCTTCTTATACTTTTCTTGCCTCAGTTCTGGAATCAAACATTGCTCCAAGAAACTTTGGTTCATTTTTAGTGGGCAGTGGTATTTTAAAACCAAGAGCTGAGTATTAAACACACTCATTGCTACTGGGAAGTTAGATTTTCTGTGGGCAGAGTAAGGAGTTTGTTGTATCAATTTTGTTGTTGTGGTTAAGTGTCATCAAACTCAATTCCAAGTCATAGCAGCCCTATATAGGGTTTCTGAGGAGCAACTGGTGCGTTTGAACCACCAACCTTGTAGTTTAAACACATCAAGTATCAATGCTATCCCCTGTGTATACAGGGTAAATAGGGACAGGCAACTTAGGCATTGGCTACCTAAAATGAGAGGGTGATAAAGGGATGAAGTGACTGGCTTACAAGTTTTCAAGAAGGAGTTTAGTTTAAGAGTATTGAGTCCCCACCAAATAGTTTTCATCTTGTCTACATGGGTCTGG